TGTGTTCATCCAGCTTTACACCTTGTTATCTCAGATTCTCTAGCATCGGCAGTTCCTACTATCTTTGGAATATTGTGAGCAGTTTTGGGTCTTCTATCTAAGGAAGGAGCTTTCTTTAATTTCAAAATATACTTAATTCTTAAAACATACATATATCCATAGTTACTAAAGCATTGAGGTTCTGTACAATAGAATATGAAGAAAACAAAAACATTGGAGCTGGACTGTATCTCATAAACAAACCAAAGGCATCTCTTGTATGAGATTATATTTACATATATTTGACGTACACGAAGGGTGCGATAACTGAATGGACCCCATTTAACTTGGGCAGAAAGACCTCATACACTGGTCTTTCCCCACTGTGCCTTGGTGGCTGCTGCCCCAAGCTTTAGAGCATTCCTCAGCACATAGTCCTGCACCTTGGTATGTGCCAGTCTGCAACACTCGGTCAGGGGAAAATCGTTGCTCTGGAAGACCAAGTTTCAGGCAGAAAAAACAGTGTCATTCACCACTTCGATGGTCCTCCAGGCGCAGATGATATTTGTCTTGTTGTGTATCCTGGGGAACAGACTCCAGAGAAAAGAGTCCTGCATCACAGAGCTGCTCAGGACAAGCCTCAACAAAAACTATTACATTTTTCACCAAACTTCCTTTGCAAAGACTTATTCCAGAAGGAGATGTGTGACAGTCTCTAGCCCTCCACAGCTGCTTCGAGGGCAGCATGCGGTGGCATACACGTCTGGGCATACAAGAAGGATCTCACTGGTAATGCCCTTCTCACCACCAGCCAGTGTTGTCTTGGTGCTTGTTGAAACGTTCTGGTGATGAGGCATTTTGCCAAATTCCTTTGACAATCTGCACAGGGAACCACTTGACAGGATCCACCTTCTCTTTTTCCTGCAGGTTCTTGAGGACACTGCTGACCACTCCCTGATGGACTTGTGTTCAAAGGTGTTTTACTTTACAAATTTCTTCATGAAGGACAGGTCCAACTATTTGGAGCATTCCACAGCAATGAGGCCAGTCCCATCTTTTGCAACACCGGGGACAGGTACAACCTTAGTACGTACTGACATTTGATGTTTACGTACAAAGGGTCTATGCACAGCTTGATGCAGCCACACAGTGAGGTGGCCATCAAGATGACAGCAGCGTTGTGTATATTCTTCCCCCACCTTATCCACAGTTTTGTACATGGAGTCCCTGCAGACATGGTCCATCTTAGACCTCCAGATGAAGTGGAAGATGGCTTGGATGACTGAATTGACCCAAGTTCTGGGAATGGGCCAGAGCTGTGCCACATACAACCAAAACAATGGATAGGGAGAGGTCATCACCTTGGCAATAAGCTCCTCCCAAGATTTTATGTCTGCTTCGGCCCCTCTGAACTGTATTCACAGCATCTTCAAGTAATCTGTCCTGACAGTGAAGAGGATAACCGATAGGCCATCCCAGTTCCCAAAGCATATGGCCTCGCTCTTGCCTCGATTTATCTTGGCAGCCAAGGCCAGTTTGAACTGGTCGCAGATATTCATGAGTCTGTGCACTGACAATGGATCTGAGCAGAAACCTGTAATATCATCCATGTACAGGGAGGCTTTGACCTGCAGACCTCTGCTGCCTGGAACAGTCACCCCTCTCAGGTTCACATGCTTCCTGATGGACTCAACAAAATGTTCTATATAACACACAAACAAAGCAGGAGAGAGTGGGCAGCCCTGGCTGACTCCAGATCGAATCAAGAAGCTTTCTGATTTGCACCCATTGATTGAGACTGCACTAATGATGCTGGTATATAGCACTCAGATCTGATTGTACTTTCCTTCCCCGAAGCCCATATGGAGAGCACGTCCCTCATGTATGTGTGCAATAGCATGTCAAGGCCTTCTCCTGATCCAGGCTGATAAGGCAGGCATCCACCATCTCCCTGCCCCACCCCCCAACCACATCCCATCCTGCATGTAGGCGATCATATCCCTGAGAAGCGTGAGGCTGCCAGAGATCATCCTGCCCAGTACAGCACAAAACGTACAGTCTCCTGTACACTCGCACACACTCTCACAGTCTGACACACTCGATACCACTCACTGTATCACACATAGGATCCCATCTCTGATTCATTCACACACTCTGTCAAACTCATTTTCACGCACTCAGTCTCTCACACATTGCAGCAAAACCCTCACAGGCACACACTCACTCTTATTCAGTCACTCTTATTAAATCACATTATGTACTGCAGTCATAGACACACAAACCTGCTCACGCATCCATGTGCTAGCACACTCATTCACTCACACACACGTGCAGTCAGATGTTCTTACGCTCTCTTCCACATCATCACACATTCACACCATCTCATCTGTTCAAACACATTGTCAAATATCTTGACTGAAGGGTCAATGACAAGGGACAAACTTTTAAAGTGAAAGGCAGGAGGTTTAAAAGGGATTCGAGCATTATTTTGCACCCAGAGGGTAGGTGGCAATCTGGAATTCACTGTGTGGGGGAGGGTAGTTGAAATGGAAACCTTTAGAAAGAACCTGGATGAACAGGTGGTGTCATAATATTCAATATTATGGGCCTAGTGTGGAAAGTGGGACTTGTGTAGGTACGAGTGTGTTTTAAGTTGGTAGAAGGGCCTCTTCCATACGGTATGAATCTATGATTCCATGATATCGCCTTTTCAAGATTCCCAAACAGGAAGGAAGCATTCCATAAATTCACCACAAATTTCATTATTTGTTTCTCTCCATTCTGATCTGGTAGTTTCCTGGTTCTTCACATTCAAATGAACAGTCGTCATTGTCTGGGAGGTGAATTTTGAGCCTGGCCCAGAAGAGTGAATTACCTGTGTTAATCTGATACACAGGGTGAGGGCAAATCCTCCTTTACACAATGTTAGAGTATTTCCTGTGTTCTGTTTGAGTCAAGTTAACATTAATGTTAAGTTTAGTGCATTGCCAGGAATATTAGCAGATGACAATGAGGCGTAAACTTAGAGAATTGTTACCATCACTGATAATGACATTACATGATGCATTGCATTGTGAGGAATGAGGCAACAGTCAGGACCATTACATTGTCATTCTTGGACTGAATAACATTATTAAATAGCGACTAATTGAAGGTTTTCTTTAATTAATATGATTCCACAACAGCAAATCTAAAGAAATAGTCTGTCCTATCTTCACAAAATATGCCCAGAGCGTTTATCCTCTGGGATCATCTTCCCTTCACCAGTTTTAATGTTTGGAAATTCATGGCCTGAGCTTTGTAACCATCCCCTGATGACCCAGCTGTACTGGGGTAGAAAATCATCCCTTGTTTGTAAAAGGACTGCAACTAATTGTTTTTACACAGCTATTGCATGACCTCATTTACTCTCAGGGACATGGCTTGAGCTATAAAGGAGGTGAAATTAAAGATCTCAGATGCATTTCACTTAGAACCAGAAAACTTGAGGGAATTTGCTTATTCTTCATAAAAGAATGGTAACAATTCTCCAGATAAAGAACATTTGCTATCCTGTTATTGCAGCCTTTGGCATTCCCGGTAAGGCATTTTCTTTTTCATGAGCAGTGAATATCATGGTGTTCATGTAACAGCTTTCAGGAATAGTCCTCATTGCAGAGCTACTTATCCACCCGAAGGAATTGGGGAATATGGAGTTGGTGCTGCATGTTTACTGAATAGCTCCTCCAGGATGAGTATCAGCAAAGAAATTCAAATATTCAGACATTAATCCAATGCTTGTGACTAAACTGAACATTTTACTAGAATATACACATGTTCAGCAATTATCTGGATGTTATATCTAATTTATGGCAATGTCTAAGTAAAGTTTGTTGGAACAACACAAATATTAAATCCTCAGCATTTTTTTTCCCGTAGACAATTTGTCAGTCGCATTGATTTATCTCATGAAAACAAATCTGTGGCAAGCTCTGCGTAATATCAAATTTGAATACATCCCAAATATTTACTGTGATTTGATTTTTAATAGAGTCCCGCTTTATTATCTCTCCTGTCTCCATTTCACAGCAAACTTACTGGCCATCATCATTCTCTCCAGAGGAAATTGTGGACTTTCCAAATGTATCTCGGTTTACATGATCACCATGGCAACAGCAGACTTCCTGGTCATATTTTTCAATGTCATAGTATATCACATTTTGAGTTATCACTTTCCAGATTCATTTCTGTCCTACACTGTTGTTTGTAAGTTCATCCTGTGTGTCAATCCTGCCACATTGGATATGTCTGTGTGGTTTACTGTTTTCTTCACAATTGACCGTTTTGTAACTATCTGTTGTCAGAAGTTTAAATCAAACTATTGCACAGTAAGAACTGCGACTTTCATTATGACCACATTCTCTGCCCTGATTTCTTTGGAGAACATACCCTTCTGGTTTGCATATGACCCTGAACAAATAATTTCCAACATTGCTTGGGGTTGTCAATCCAATGTGGCCTTTTACACATCAACTGCAGGTGAGGCATACTCCTGGATGAAAAGTATTTTAGTTGCATGGCTGCCTTTTTGTTTGATATTACTGTTTAACTCTTTGACAATCAGGCGTATTTTAGTGACCAGCAGAGTCCGCAGGCAACTGCGGGGTCTCAGCAATGAGAATAGCACTGACCCAGAGATGAAAACCAGAAGGAAATCCATAGTTTTACTGTTCAGTGTATCAAGCAGTTTTCTCCTGTTGTGGCTAACAGCCATCGTTAACTTTTTAACCAGTAAACTCACAACAACAGTGTATTACCGAGGTGATTATACAGCTCCTACATACGTTGCCACTGAAACTGGGTATATTCTTTTGTACTTGAGTTCCTGCACAAACACGTGTATTTATACAACAACACAGACCAAATTCAGGGAAGAGATGGAGAAGATGATGAAATCTCCTTTCATTTTGATGTTGACTTTGTTTCAAAAAAGCATTAAACCAAAACTTTCTTCCCAAGCTAAGTGAATATCAACCCAAGTTCTCACTCAGAATGGTCTGTTCTGTTGTGGGTTGAGAAGGATTGCACTTGTGAAACGTTTTTGGAATACATTATTTCAAACTGCACACCATGTTTGATGCCTGCTTATTTCTCAGGGTGAAACAGTCCTGATGGTGTTTACATACCAGGAGCTAAGATCACAACGGTCTCTTTTCGTTCAGATGCATCCCTGTTTTGATGTTGAACCAGTCCAGCCCTCTGAATTGTATAGCCTATCCAGCCTTGCTTTATAACTCAAACCTTCCATACCTAGCAACATCCTGGTAAATCTCTTCTGAACACTCTCCTGGTGAATAATATCCGTCCAATAACTGGGCATCCAGAATTGAACACAGTATTCCAGAAAAGGCAACCTCAACATGACTCCCCAACTTCTATACTCAAAGGACTGAGCAATGAAGGCAAGTGTGCTAAAGACTTTTAAACCACCCTGTCTATCTGTGATTCAAACTTCAAAGAAATATGTACCTGAAGCCCTAGGTCCTTCTGTTCTACAACAGATGGACAATAGATTCATAGATTCATACAGTGCAGAAAAGGCCCCTTGGCCTCTCAAGCCTGGACTGACATAACTACCACTAAAAGTGCATTAATCTCAATTTCCTGCACTTGTCCCATATCCTTCAATGTTCTGATATTTGACGTACTCCTCCAAATATTTTTTAAAGGTTGTAACATTTTCAGCCTCCACTACCTTCCCAAGCAGTGCATTCAAGATTCCCACCACCTGCTGAGTGAATTTTTTTTCCCCAAATCCCCTCTGAATCTCCTGCCCCTTACCCTAGAACAATGTTCTCTCAAGATTGGCACTTCAATGAAGGGGAACAGCTGATGTCTGTTCACCCTGTCCATACCCCTCATAATCTTATACATCTCAGTTACGTCCCCCTTTCTGTTTCCTCTTCTCCAAAGAAAAAATCCCAAACCTATCTAGTCTCTCCACATAGCTCAATTTCTCCATCCCAGGCAACATCCTGGTTAACCTTTTCTGTATCCCCTCTTGTTTTATCACATCTTTCCTGTGGTGAGGTGACCAAAACTGTACACAGTACTCCAGTTCTGGCCTGGCCAATGTTCTGTACAACTCCAACATTACCTCCTTGCTCTTATACTCTTTGCCATGACTTATGAAAGCAAGTTTTTCATCTGCCTTCTTAACTATCCTATTCATGTGTTCTGCTGACTTCAGGGATCTGTGATTAATTACCCCAAGGTCCCTCTAAGCTACCCAGTGTCCCTCATCTTGTTTCTACGTCCAAAGTGCATCACTTCACCCTTATCAGGGTAAAATACCATCTACCACTGCTCTGCCCATCTGACCAACCCATCTATATCTTCTTGTAACCTACAACCATCTTCTTCACTATTAACCACTCTAACCATCTTGGTGTCATCTGCAAATTTGCTTAACATTCCCCCACACTTTCATCTAAATCATTTATGCCTATAACAAACAATAAGGGTTTCAGTACTGATCCTTGTGGTACAGCACTGGACAGTGGCTTCCAGTCACTCAAACAGCCTCTGGCACTACCATTCATGTCCTATTACTGAGCCAGTTACTGATCCAAATTGCCAAGTTTACCTCAGTTACATGTGCTTTAACCTTCTCAGTCAGTCTCCCATTTGGGACCTCGTCAAAAACTTTACATAAAATTCATATAAACTACATCAGCTGATCTTCCCTCATCCACACATATGATCACGTTTTCAGCGACTAGGAGATAGCAAGAACTGCAGATGCTAGAAGCCAGAGACAATACAGTGTGGAGCTGGAGCAACACAGCGCGTCAGGCAACATCAGAGGTGCAGGAATGTTGATGTTTCAGGTCAGGACCCTTCACCAGTCCTGATGAAGGTTCCTGAACTGAAACACTGACTTTCCTGCTCCTGTGATGCTGCCTGACCAGCTGTATTCTTCCTCTAACAAAGCCATGTTGACGGTCCCTAATTAACCCATGCTTTTCCAAGTGCCATCCTCCAGTTCTCTGGCTCTTCTCCCATGGCCGGAGAGGAATTAAAAATTCAAGCTTAGTTTCAGAGATAGGGAGAAGTTTACGAGCTGGAGGAGATGACAGAAATTGGGAGGACTGTACGGGCTGGAGGAGGATACATAAATAAGGAGGGATGTAGATGCTGGAGGAGGGTACAGAGATAGGGAGGGCTATTGGGGCTGGAGGATGTTCCAGAATCAGGGAAGGGATGTTGTAGCTGAAGGAAGTTACGGAGATTGGGTGCTGTGTTGGGGCTGGAAGAGGTTGCAGAGGTAGGGAGAGATGGAGATGCTGAAGGAGGTTGTAGAGGTAAGGAAGGGTGATAACTGATACTAATTCTCAGCTCCCTCACTGAGCAGCTTCTCCCAGCCCTTGATGATCACTAGTGAGTGGCAAATGATCCCTAGGTATTACCAAGAGAAGGCACAAAGAACTGTGACAGCCCCATCACTTGTTCACCCTCCTGTCTATGTCTGGGACAGCTTTGTGCATTCTGGAAGATCATGACATTGTAACCACAGAAAGGTGAGGGTTTCGGTAACTCCCTGTTTGATCGTGACGAGGCCCCTTGAACTGGACAGGTCAAAGTGTGACCTCACAGAACAGTGTGACCTCACCGTGTACATCACAGAGAGAGATCCGACATCACAATCGGGTTGTAAACTGGCTTCGTCTGAGGCTGCACGAGTAAACCCAGGGAAGGCAAGGTCACTGCACTGACTGTGTCTCTGGCTGATCGGTCTGGGAGTGAATGTGATCAGAGGGAAGATCAAAACAGCTTCACTTTACAAAGAGAACACAATGCTATGAAAAGATCATCAGTGAAGTGATCAAACAGAAGATGGTGAGGTTTAAAATGTTAGTCAAAAATTCTTCCTCTTGCACAGACTGAGGGTTTCAGGGAAATGGGGACTTAATTTTTGAGCTATTTATTCTGCGAAAGTTTCAAGCTTATTTAAACTGATAAAATATCCAGAATTGACTCTTTATGTGAGTCAGAAACTCTAATCCCAATGTGACTCTCCTCCTATGACCTAGCCAATCACTATATCAGTGGAGGATGACACACAAATGGGGAGGCAGGTAGTTGCTGTGACAGGTTACAAGAAAAGGGAGGGGTATATGGACTGGAGTATGATACAGAGATAGGGAGAGATATAGGGGTTGAAGGACATTACAGAGGTAGGGAGGTATGTAGGGGCTGAAGAAAGTTACAGAGATACAGAGATGGGATAGTGTCACATTAATATAGAGGGCTGGTTCATCTGGAAGGGGTGATAGAGTTACCGAGTGGTGTAGTGGCTGGAGGATGTTACAGACATAGGGAGGGATGTGGATGGTGAAGGTGGCTCACTATATAGGGAAGGATACAGCTACTAGAGGATGATACAGAGACAGGGAGGGATGTCAGGGCTGGACTAGTGACCAATGATAGGGAGTGATATAGTTGCTGGAGGAGGTTATGGCAATAGGGAAGGGCACAGGTTCTCGAGGAGGTTACAGAGATAGGGTGGGTGTAAGTGCCCAAAGGGGGTTACAAAGGCAGTGTGCTGAGTTGGGGCTCAGGCTCATGGAGGGGTCCAGGTTTTACAGAGATGGAGGTCTGTATTGGCTGGAGGAGGTTACAGAGATAGCAAGTGGTGCAAGGATAGACAGATATAAGGAGCAGTACATGTCCTGGAGCAAGTTACAGTAATAGGAAGGAGTATCAGGGATAGAAGAGTTTACAGATATTTTGTAGGGATTGGAGAGCATTACAGACACAAGGAGTGGTGTAAGTTACAGAGATAGGGATGTGTGTTGGTTTGAAGATTGTTACAGTTATAGGGAGGGATATAGATGTTGGTGGAAGTTAGATAGATAGACAGGTATGTGGATGCTGAAGGACGATACGGAGATAGAAAGATTTGCAGGGATTGGGGCATATTACAGAGATAGGGAGTGGCGTAGTGGCTCGAAGATTACAGAGACAGGGCAGGATGTGGGGACTGGCGAAGGTTACAGAGATAGGTGTGCAGGGGCTGTAGGAAGTTAGAGATATGGAGGGTTGTAGATGTTGTCAGAGAGTATAGAGGTGGGTCGGCCTCTGGGGACTGCAGGAACTTACAGATTAATCCAAAAACTAGGCTAATGCTCTGGACATCTGGGTTTGAATCCCACTGCAGCAAATCATGGAATCTGAATTTATTAATAAATATTTGGAATTTAGATTCTAATCATGATCACGAAACCAATTTTTCTGAAAATTGTCAGAAAAATCCATCAAGCTCACCAATGTCCTTCAGAGAAGGAAATCTACCATTTTCACCTGCTCTGACCTACATATGGCTCCAGTCTTACAGGAATGTGGTTGACTCTTAACTGCCCTCCGAAATATCAAGCCACTCAGTTGTATCAATTGCTATGAATTCTCAACGAAGAAATCAAGCCACACAGACACTTTTCTGCCCGACTGACCATTCGATTTAGATCATCATGTAGTTACAGGTTTCTTCCTCCCTGTCAATGATCTGGGTAATTGTTACGTCATCTGTAAATTGCATCTCCTAAATCCAATGCCGGATCAGTGGTATATAACAGGAAAATCAGGTACCAATACTAAACTCTAAGAAAGCTTTTTGGTTACAAACTTCCAATCACACAAATACACTTCTTCCATTATCTTCTGCTTCAATCTTTTTTTCTGAAATAACCGGTCACTTCGCCTTTACTCAGATGAGTGGTTAATTTACTGACCGGCCTGACATATAGAAGTAAAAATCACAGAAAATGTACAGCACAGAAACAGGTCATGTCTCCCATCATTTCTGGCAACAGCAGTTATTGTCAAATCCTGGGATTGAACACGTGACCTTTAGATTTCCCCAGTCTAATGTTCGCCCAGCTGAGGAATTTCAGCTAATCACATACAACAACCGTTCCAAAATGCATGTGCTCAACTTCAAAATCAGCCTCACTGTGATAAGACTGGT